CAATATCGTAAACCAAGTAAAAGGATTATTTGTCAAAGAATTAGGAAAATATCTTAATTTTAAGCTCTCATCATTGGTGATATCACCAACTTCTGTTTCGTACCTAGCAACGTGTTCAATGGTCGACTCATTGGCCTCACCGGGAAACTTCGTAAACTTAGGTACCTTACACCCCCTAGGTAATTTTGCTTGTCGAATGTAATCAGGCAAGGGTAAAGAGTAATTGGGCCTCTGGAGACCAACATTTACTCTGGATCGTGTGAATACTTCTTCTACCATATTTACTATGTTGTTGCGTCCAACAGTGGCATTTCTTAACACTCGATTATCATCTTGGTTTCTCCTAACTGTGACTGGCCTAAGTTTATATTGTCCAATGAATTCTTCCTCTTCATAAGTGGGTGTTTCCACTCTCCAAGGTCTAAAAGGAAGCTCATTGTTGCCCCCCTCTAGTTCTTCAAAAACCCTTAACGGCCTGTGGTGTGTTTGAGTTTGAGTTGGTTGGACCCCTAATGAGTCGATCAATCTACCTGTTTGGTCAACTACAGGATTTAGGGCGACTCCCATTTGTTGAGTTAAAATGTTTACTAACTCTAAATTACTTTCATCCATCTGTTGCCTTAAATCTATAACGGATGTAGTATGAAAAGATGGTGTCGATTGCGGGACATAACTAACACCACCTAGTCGACCACTTGGGGCATAACTGCCTTGGTTTCTATTGGAAATTGTGTTTTTTGTATATGTGGCAGAGTTCGACTGTAACCCAACCATCATGGAATAAGGCATACCATATTGGTGAGGGACAAACGATGACCCTGGACCCCCTGGAAAGAGTGGTCAATTTGGGTCAAATGGTGACACCTCATGCATAGGTTCTATCATTGTGACTATTGTCACTGAACCATGAACTATGGTTGATCTTACGGGAGATAAAATTGTCGCACTTTGAGTTGTGGTACTTACTGGTATAACATCCACATTTTGTATAGAAATATTTGTATGTGCAGTGTTTGTGTCAGAGCGTGGCATTTTAGACTTAGACAAAAGTTTACTACTTCTTAAATTCATACACACACTAACTATAAAAACTTTGTGAAACTACACACAAAATTCGAAAATATTAGCACTGTCCCACCGGGTGTGCCAATTTATTTCCCTCTGGATTTGGTAAACAATGTTGGTCTCTTTAAAACAAGTTTACTGACAAGATCGACCAGGGAATCTCAGTACAATGCCTCAGTTCGCGTGCGTAGTTAAAGCATTTTCAAAGGGTGCGTTCGACTGATAGTCAAACGTTTTAAATTGTAAAAGATAATGGCAAAAAGATAAAGTAAACAAGACAAAAAGCATTTTGTTGTAAAAGATAATGACATAATATTAAAGAAAGATTGAAAATAGGTTGGTTCAAACATACATTGGCTTTGTGTGACTCATTTCACTCGTTCGCTTGGTTACTTTGAGTGACTAGCATGCAAGAATGTAAAAAGTTTGACCTATTACAAAGTGTACTAAGTGCTTTATTTATAATACACGGAAATAACTACTTTCTAAGTGTGTTTCGTTTTCTTGCATGTCGCGCGTTCTTCGTAACTTCCCCTCACGAAACCACGTTCTCCATTGTAACTCCTCTTTATGAATCCATGTTCTCCATTCTTACGGTCGAACTCATATTCTCTATTGTAACTGTCGAATCCACGTTCTTCCTCCATAATGTTTCGCCTTTGTAGTTTAGGCGCTTATGGGCCTTTTTATCTTCTCACCTCCCTTGGACCCAATTCATTTACCATGAACCCTTCTCTGATTGACTGTCCTTATGAAATCTTGGTCGACTGCCTGTGAAGTCATCCATGGTCGACATGTTTATGTAGTCGGCTCCTCATAATTGAATGCTCTTTAATGCTCTTTGACTTTTGATTTGGACTTCTCTCTTTATAAAAATCTGAGCCAATAGTCTCTTAAAATAATAATTAATTAAGAAATTAATTAAATTAAATTTAATTTTGTTTTTTACAATTTGTTTTTACATAGAAATGAAAATCTTTTAACTAAGTTATTTTGCTTCTCTAAAAATTTTCAATCAAGTATGATCTTTTTAATATATTTTCAAAATATCATTTACTTGATGAAAAATAAATCATATAAGATATTATATAATGATACAAGAAATAAGAAGATAATAATATCAGATATTATGATTAAAAAAAATTAAAAAAATCGGTACATATAAAGAAAAGTTATTAAATAAATAATTATTAAAAACATAAAATAAAATAAAACAATATGAAAGATTATAAAATCTGTTCCACCGTCTTCATATTCTTTGAAAGAATAAACTAACTAACATAAAGCATATGTTTGATGAAAAAATTGAATGAAATCTAAAATTTTAATTTATATAATAAACGTTAGTATCATTTTTATGACAAAATATTATCAGTTATATTAAAAAATATTATAAATATTTATTTTTGATAAATAAACATCGGACAATAACGATAGATGAATATGTAAATATTTTGGAATATATATTATGTGAAGAACGTTAGACAAATACACAAATATTTTGGAGTGTGTATTGTGTCAAGGAATCTCATTAAAAATTAATTTTTAATATAATATTAAGATTTATCTTTTCATTTACAATCTTAAATAACTTTTATCAATGCCCGATCTCCATCTTTCCATTTCTAAGATAATTAAACTACACATTCCAAGACTATTAATTATTAACTTGAATTGCATAACTATCTATATAAACATATTGGATTAAGAGTAATTAAACTACACATTCCAAAACTATTAGTATATAGATTGAAAAAACATATTAGTCATTTCAATCCTTAAATCCTAAATCTTAAATCCTAAAAATTGTCCAAAAGAATTCCAACAAATAATAAAAGTCATAATGTAAATCTCTTTCTTCCATCATTATTAATTAAAGAAAATCAAAATATCTTTAAAGAAATTCATTTTAACTGTGTTTCTTAAATAATAATTAATTAATAGATTAATTAGATTTAATTTAATTTTGCTTTTTTACAATTTATTTTTACATGAAAATGAAAATCTTTTAACTAGGTTATTTTGCTTCTCTAAATGTTTTCAATCAAGTATGCTTTTTTTAATATATTTTCAAAATATCATTTACTTGATGAAAAGTAAATCATATAAAATATTATAAAATAATACAGAAAATAAGAAAATAATAATATCAGATATTATGATACAAAAAATAAGAAAATTGATACATATAAAGAAAAGATATTAAATAAATAATTATTAAAAACATAAAATAAAACAAGACAATATGAAAGATTATTAAAAAATTATGTTTAAAACGCGTCAATAATTCATGAAGTTAAAGGCTAAAATATAAAAGTTGTTTTGCAATGGCGTATACATACAAAAGCGTAAGATTATAAATAATCGATCTTTTACTTATCCTTTTACAAAAAAATTAAAAAGTTAAATTTGTTATTTCAGAGAAACGCAAAATTATATATTTAAATTTTGAAACTTATCTATGTTTAAATTTATTTTCTATTAGATGATAAAATTATATAATATCAATAGCATTCATAAATTTACAATACAGAAGAACTTAAAAATTATAGACATGTAGACATGTCCGACGGGCCGAACCTATTTTTTCGACGGACTGACAAAATGTTTACTTAAATTGAACAGATATTAGAGATCATATGTTTAATGACTTCTGAATTACTATATCATATAACTTCTTAATTACTACACAAATTTGACAAACATAATATTATTCAATTCATTAAATCTAATCAAATTGTTATAATTTTAATTTGTTAGTAAACCAATATGTTTTTTTTTGTGTATAATATGTTTTATTTTATATTTTTTGTTAATAGAAATTGTAAAATTAAAATTATAAGCAATTATAAAAAGTATAGGCATGTCCGATGGGGCAAACCTGTTTTTCTATCATATATTTGGTTTAATAGCAATTATCAAATTTATATATATCCTGATAACTACTACAACTTGATAAATTAAATTAATATTTCTATGACAATCATCGTTGAAATCTTTTTTTTCTTCTATTAATTCGTATATATTTTTATATAAATTTCTTAATTATAACTATATAATATTTATTAAATATTTATATCAATTTTTCGCGACTTGTGCATTCATAAGTATAATCTTACAGAGACCGAATAAGATATTAATCAAGTGAAATTAAATAGCCCAACAAAGTAAGATTCTACACATTTTTATTAAACAAAGACAAAACCATTTTAAAGATTTCTTTTCCATCTCCAAGTTGGTGGTATATAAGAAATAAAACTAACAAATAATTTATATACTTTTTTTATAGCATGATGTTAATGTTATAGGTTGTTGGTGTAGAATGATATGGGATTCTTATTTCATATTATGAAGAACATATGTTCTATTATTTGATTTTTTTAGTTTATTTAACACAATATAAGTATGATCAAATTAAACCTGATTTATTAAAACAAATGTATGTAAGAAGGCCAATACGAAAAACTTGCATAATCAATAATATGGTGGTTTTTGCATTGGAAAAAGGACAATATGTATTAAAAATGTATACTACTTTTAGCATTTTTGATGGTTGCAATTCTAATAGTAGAATATTGAATGGTTTATTAAATCCCAATTATATATAAGGTCTTTTGCATTGGAAAATGAAAAATCTAGATAAATACAAATTAATTTATTTAGGGCATTGAAACAGTTTACCTTGTGAATTTAAATAAAATAAGAAAAATAATAATTATGATAGCAAAAAGTAATTCATTATGATAGAAAGGCATTGAAAGATAATTAATATTGTTAAAAATGTCATGAAACACTAGACTTGATAAATTTGTTATTCAATACATAAAAAAACAACATAAAACTAATAATAATTGAAATAGAACTGGTTCAGGATGTGCTTCATATATGAGTCATCAAATATTTGATTTGATCTTCACTTTCTTTGATGGCTTTGTTTATGAAAACTGAGTAGTTCCATAAACTTGACACTCAGAATCTTCAATATCATGAGTAATTGGGCCATCTTTGGACGTTGTATTGGTCACAATTTTCTGGATCATTTCTCCAAAAGCAAACAAAGACTCCTTGAATAATATTAAACAAAAGACAGTAAGTATGAACAAAATCAAGTAATATCGTTTGAATTTAGAAACAGGAATTAACATACCATGGAATCGTCGACACGATCAATGACTGGGATTTGGGTTAAAGGTATACTATGACCCTGCACATCAGACAATGACATTAACAAATAATTTGAAAGCAGAATTACGTACAAATATGCCTATAAGTTAGATGTCTATGATTACAAAAATGACAAACCTCATCAGTAATATAATCTTTTTCAATCTCCTTGACAAATTCTTCATCATATGAGAGCTTCCAAACAGATGCTTGGCCAAATGTTGGCTGAACTTTAGCTCTGAATGTCATTCGTTTACCCAGAAGCATGTCAAACTCGTCGGGATATACCACAGGATCATCTTCACCTTCCTAAAGATTTAATTTTATGTAAGTACAACTGGTAGTATAAATAAAATTAAAAAAGTAAATCAATTATACTATACCTCCAGCATTGCTTTATAAATACTATTGCAGACTTTCCAATAATGTCGGGACAGTCGGTATCCCAAAACACAAATTGAAACGTTGATTCACCATCAATAACATAGATGTCAATTATATACCTTTTATATAAAATTGCATATAATGAAGAAGTATGAATAAATGCACTATTGAAAATGAGAAACAAATTCAAATGATATAACCTTAAAAGATATAACCTTGGTATGGCTTGTGCAACATTTTCTCCACATGAACACTTGTATGGATTGTTAATATCATATGCCTTTAAAGAGTATTTAGTATATCCATAATAGAACCAACTATGTTTTGATACAAAAAACTTTTGAATAGTTGTAACAGTCACACATAACATGTCCTAAAATAAAATTTCAACATTATTAGATATAACAGTCACACATAACATGAAAATATAAACATGAATGAGTTGTTTTTTAATGTTTTGCATTGAAATATACTTGTTTGACCTTGCAAAGCTCACTTAGAGAAATGCATTTGGCCTTACGAATGAACCTTTCAACTGTGGTGAACTGTGAGGTACCAGACCAAAGAGACATAGACTTTAAGGACTGAGTAGGCTTTTCAGTTTGCTCATTTGCAGGTAACCTGCAACATTAAAACTCAATGCATGTACATGATTTTCATTTTTAAGATACCTAATTCAACAGTAAGGATGATTAATATTAGCATACTTTGAAAAAAATTCAGTGATCTCCGAAATGTCTTCATTAATTAGTAACTTGGATCCACTTCATCCATTTGAAATTGAAATTGAAAAAAAATAAAAAATGAGATCAAACTTGAGACAAAGTTCACATAAAAAGGAGAGGATATTAGGAGTGTACACATTGTGAATATTTGATCATTGCATGAATTAGTACAATTACAATAGCACCACTGTATTTTTTATCATGGTAGTAGTCCAAAAATTTAGTTTCATAGTTTCTCCATAATGTGCAGTTAAGCATGTTACCTCTGTTTTTAGAATTAAAAAAAAATCAAAATGATAGATTGAAACACGTATAACTCATTATTACATAGAAAAAAGTTGGAATCAAATATTTTACTTCAGGTCTTTAAGATTCAGGGAAACAAATGTCTTTTTTTCTGGTGTATTATACTGAAAATTGTTGATCTCTTGAGCAACACCAATAACATCTACAAAACTGAATCAAAGAATAAGTTTTTTTATATTTAAAATCATTGATTTACAAAATAAAATGCATAGTATTTTACATTCAAGTCTATTATGTTGGAATTTGCCTCCAAGTATATTAGAAAAGTCTTTGAAATAGTAGCTTTTCTGAGGAACATTTTGAACATCAATAGCTTTCAAAGTCGTACCACCAATAAACACAAACTTTTTTGAATGATCACAAAACTTCCACTGGAAATCATTATCAAAAACCGTTTCATTGTTGATTATGCAAGTCATATTTTCATGAATTCATTCTTTCCATTTAGGTGTATTGATCAGCACGAATCAAAACTTGAATCTTATCACCCTGATGATAAACAAAAACGCCATTAATGGCAACCATATCAGCACGGAAAAAATTACTTTCATATGAAACAATTTCAAATAATAGTAAAGATTACCGATGTGTCCATGATAACCATCTCCAAATGTTCGGCACCGTTACTGTTAATAATGCTCCATAAATCAATGATTTGAACAGCCAATCTCTATGTTTTCTTTGTGTCATTAATGCCCTTCACGAAGTCAAATTTTCGGCTCATTAGTTCAGAACAAAATACGACGAATACATTAAAGCATAAATAAAATTATTTCAAATAGTAAGGGAAGAAAGAAGAAACTTATATGATGTTGGCGGAAGAAAGAAGAAACATAATCGGAGAAGCTGGTGGAGAAAATAGACAAGGTTTAAGGAAGATGAAAAGAGACATACAACCTTATGCTTGATAGAATGCTATTGAATAATAGAAAAGATTTTGTTAGGTAGATGCTAGTTAGGGGAATGAATTTATAGACGCAAAGAAGGAATTTGAAGGGTTGGTGTTTCAAATTCGTATTTCTTAATGTTGGGAATGTTAAAGGATACGTATTGTAGTCTACAATACTACATATTCCAATAACTAAAATATAATTAATTAAGATTTAAATTAAATGAATGAGTTAAGTATGTAATTATGTTTAGGGGCATGAAAAACACCCTTAAAATTGATTTGGTTAAGAGAATTAAGTAATTTTGATGGTAATTAGTTTTTATATATTAAAGTAGATACTCAACAAACAAAGCCCAAAAACACAACTCAATCACACATGGATCTATGGACCAAACTGAAATAGCTTGAAACACGCAAAACGAAAAATTGTCTAAAAAATCTAAAAAATTCGAAATCGATGTCATTATTCACCGTACATACGGTCATTATACATCGTCCGTACGATCACTATACATCATCCGTACGATCACTATTCATCGTCTGTACGATCACTATTCACCGTCCGTAAAACAATATGATTTTCCCCGATTTTTGATTTTTCGATTTTCTAAACCTTTTGATTTTCACAATATATACGATCTCTAAATATATTTTCTTTCTCTTCATCAATAAAAGTTTTAAAACACATTTACAACTCAATATATATAATAATTAAATAGATTTGTGAAACAAAACCAAAAACTCTTGATTGCTATTCCCACTTATAACTTATAAGGATTTGTCCTTGGTTGTTATAATTCACATCAAATGCTAGAGGAAGAAATGGTCCTATAGGTAGCCTATCTATCAACGTCTAGAGCAAGTTGCTTGAATAATTCAACTTGAACAAGTACATTCTCTGCCTATTTTTAATCAATTAATTAATGGGTCTGTTCACAGATCCATTTCAACAGTTACAAGTCTTAAGTCAAGTTATTATTAGTTGTATGTATACGTAATGTTTCTGTTTCTATTGTACCTGTATTGAACTAATGAAATGCATTTATGCCAAAGTGTGTAACCATATACTAGTATGAGCTTAGCTTTATTTATTTTAAAATAAACTAGTCAAACTCTTAACGCTCTCAATCTCATTGCTCTTTTCTCTCTCTCTCTCTCTCCTCCCACCTACTTAATTTATAGTCTTGCTCAACTACTTTTGTTGGTCAATTCGAAAGTCTTCTATTTAATCAGGAATGAAGATATAGATTAGTTGGATAATTATCAGCTAAAATTAGATATTGTAGTAGTATTGAACAAAAATACTTTAATATCTAAATTTGATATGAGAGTTTGAGTTTTCTTGATAATTAATATTATTTTTTCAGGTTTATCTTTTAAAACAGAGGTCATTTATTTTTAATAAATTTATTATTGTATATTATTGTTTATTGTAAAAAAAAGAAAGAAAAAAAAAGAAAAGTATATTTATAAAAAATAATTATTAGAGAAAATCTTGTAGAAAATAATAATATTTTCAAGAGGTCTTTATATACACACAAGCGAAGTAGTACCGAGTTATGCTTCCGCTCTCTTAAATAGAGTTGAAAATAGATTGAATTGAGTTGAATTACTTTGAGTTCGACTCGACTTAGTAAAAATTAATTTTATTTAAAATTTAATTTCAGTTTAACATGAATTTTTTTTTAATTTTAAATTCGATGATTAAATTTGTTATGTTCAATTTATTTGTTTCACAGATTTAAAAGTTATTTTTCTATAGTTTAATTATTTTATATAGGGGTTGAATAAATCAAAAAGTCAAAAATTTCAGAGAGAATTCTGATTTTAAAAATTTGTTTAACATAAGAGTCTAAACGGAATGAGTTCTCTTTACGAACCGAGTTATTGGAAGTCAGATATGCAAATATTAAAATTCAATATGGAATGACAGCAATAAATTGGAATTGATATATTTCAATCAAATAACCGCTTATTTAACGTTTATGTCAAGTTACTAACAATGTTATTTTCAATGATAACAAGCAAAAGAGTAAATTGAACAATTTGTCAAACACTTGGTGTGCAATAAAAAATTTTAAAATTTTCCTTTGAATTGAACAAGCTAAACAATTTATCAAACACTTGTCGTGCAATTAAAGTTTCTGAATTTTCCTTTGAGTTGTGTAAGTGTTTGTTGGCAGCAATTTTGGTAAAACACTGCTTTGATGATGTTTTGCTTAATGTCTTGACATTTGAAGTAAATCATCTCAACTGATTATGAATGATATCAGAGCAGATGTCTTGACATCTGCCTTCTAATTTGAACGTGTTTTCAGATTTTTTGTTTCATGTTTTTAAGCGCGCCATATTCAGGTTTTGTGGTTTATAACTTGCGAAAAATATGGAGGAATATTTTTCGATCTGTCTTACATTTATGGATTACATCTTGGTCTACTTTCATGGAGATATTCAAGGGATTCAATATATTACAATATTTATTTTTCATCCCAAGCCCATAAAGAAGCTGTTGCGCCTTTATAAGGACTTGCAACCTTATTCGTACAGCTGCAACAATTGAAGACAAATATATTCTTTGTGTTTAAAAGTCTGAATCTTTTAATTATAATACACTCTAGTATTGTTTCAATACTTGAGTAGTAATTTGTTAGTTGAGTTGTAAATTATGGATCATTCATAAGCTTTTAAGTATTAAATGATTGGGGTTTTTCAAACTTAATAATTATGTTGTTTTTCACTGTTCATGATTGAAGGGATTTGAGGAGGGCCTCATACCTAGGTGTGTCTTAGGTAGAAGTATAGCACGGGTAGTGATTAAGTGATTAGATCCTAAACTGGTTGTTTACCGAGGGTCTATAAATTGATACTATTTAGTGGACTTATCCTTGGCTTGGTAGCCCCCAGAGTATGTGTTGTTGTACACCAAACTAGATTAACAATCCCTTGTGTTTTTACTGCTTTTATATTGTTGCATTTTATATTGTCCTCAGATATTTGTGTCGTGACATCTCCTTCGACATCACATATCTGATACCAAAATTTCAATTGGTATCAGAGCAGGCATCTTGCTCTGTATCTGGGTGAGATCTAGAGAAGATACTTTCTAGTACTATGGACAAGGAAGGAGGATTTATGAACATACCACCCATTATGGATGGAAGCAATTATGACTACTGGAAACTATGTATGATGGCCTTTCTAAAATATCTGGACAGCGGGGCTTGGAAAGCTGTCTTAAAAGGATGGAAACACCCTGTCAAATTGGGAGAAGATGGAAAACCTACTTCTATGTTAAAGCCAGAAGAAGATTGGTCTAAAGAAGAGGATGAAATTGCACTCGGAAATTCTAAAGCCTTGAATGCTATATTCAATGGAATTGATAAGAATATTTTCATATTAGTAAACACATGTGAAGTAGCTAAGGATGTCTGGGGGATTCTTCAATCTACCCATGAAGGCACATCCAAAGTTAAGATGTCAAGACTTTAGTTGCTCACCACCAGATTTTAAAATCTGAGAATGAAGGATGATGAAAGTATTAATGACTTTCATATGAATATTCTTGAGATTGCTAATGCATCCAGTGCTTTAGAAGAAAAAATATCCAAAGACAAATTGGTGAGAAAGATGCTTAGGTCTCTCCCCAAGAGATTTGATATGAAAGTGACTGCCATAGAAGAAGCACAAGACATTGACAAGATGAGAGTGGATGAAATTTTTGGATCCATTTAGACATTTGAATTAAGCATCAATGAAAGATCTTAAAAGAAGAACAAAAGCATAACCTTTGTAACGAATACTGAAGACGAAGAGGAGGATTGTGATCTGGATACAGATGAAGGAATATCTAATGCTTTAGTTCTGCTTGGAAGACAATTTAATAAAGTGATAAATAAGATGGATAGGAATCCAAGATTAAATGTCAAGAACATCTCATTTGACATCCATAAGTCAAATGAGTTTGGAAGAAAAAGGGCTGAAGAAAAATCCACTAAAGAGAAGGGAAGCAGTGTCATGGATGTGAAGGTTTTGGTCACATTAGAGCTTAATGTCCTACATATCTTAAGTAATAGAAGAAGAATCTATCTGTTACTTGGTTTGAAGAAGACTCTGAGAGTGATCTTGAAGAGGAATCTTCCAAGTATGTTAAAGCATTAACATGCAAATATGTTTCTGATGAAGATTCTAGTGATGGTGAACTAACCTTTGATGAGTTAGTTGCCTCATACAGAGAGTAGAAATTTGCCAAGAAGTGGAGAAACAAAAATCTCTCATAACTCAACTGAAGGCAAAAAGGAAAGAGCATCTGAAAACTATCTCTAGTCTGGAAAGTGAAGTGACTTCTCTGTATTCGAATCTTGACAGAATGGTCAAATCATTCAAGATGCTGAATAATGGGTCTGACACATTAGATAAAATTCTTCAAGTGGGAAGAGTGTCAGGAGACAAGAGTGGTCTAGGGTTTAATGAGAAAACGGAACCTTATTTAGAAAAACCTTCATCATATTCCACTCATGCCAAGTCTAA